ACTTATAAAATGCATAAAGTAAATAAAATGTGAAATGTAAATAGATTAATGTCTAACAGTCTCAAGTGAATGTAATTCACTGCTTACAGTAGGTCACGCAAATGATATTCGGATAAGACAAGATGACTTTTCTATTATTTGATTAAACTATTTGATATTACTAATAAGGAGAATGAAGTAATGATAGTCTTATTTTAACGAAAGAACACGTCCGAAATAAGAAATTTTCTTTTTATTTCATAATGTCGTTAGTTCGTCTCTAAACGATCACGACTTGAACGAATCCTATGCAACGAAGTAATTAATTGTTTTTTGTTTTTCGCCATTAATTGATGTCATTTCGTGAATGCACAACCAAGATTGTAAAGCTGTTTTTTATTGTACACTTGGACATACTATTATAATAGAACAAAGGATTAAATTCAAATTTCATATTGTCTGCTTCATTAGCTAACGCGAATGCGTGTAATGACTGTCAAGTGACTACTATTGTCCGCAACGTGATTGCTATTATTAGTGAGTGTATTTTAATCACTATTATCTGTATTAGAATAATTTCACTTCATAGATGACAAGAATACATTGCAGAAAAATGAAAAAAGCCAAGTGGGCAGTCGAAGCACTTAAAACAACAATAGAATTAATAACTAGATTAAAATGGAAAAGTTAAGAACTAGAAAGTTAACGATAGATGACGAGCAAAGATGATACAAAAGAGAAGTGCATTTGTTTTCGGTGGGATTATCCCGATGGTTCTTCATGCGATAATTGTGGACCTCATAGACCATGATTACCCGGAACGTAGACAATCACCAATCGTTATCAACACCATATTTCTTTACTTCTTAAACGAATTAGTATAAAATGGATTATTTTTACATCGAATAAGTAGAGTGATCGTTTAAGTTTGTAAAAATCCAATTTAATAAATATTGGTTTTTATATTTTTGGTTTCATAATAATCTATGACTTAAGTGACCACCAGTATTCCATTTCTTGAACTCATGAACTAAATAATCGACAATATTTCGTTCCGACATAAACATCGTTCGTCGTATGACACTATACACGATGCGTACTTGTCTGCATTTATTTATGGCCAAAACACAATGCATTATAGATATTAAACGGAAAGCGTTTCATGCACAATTTTGTCTAACCTTTCATGGAATTTGTGAGTGCGTAAATTACTTGTTCTTCCATCGTATAACCAAGTTCGTTTCACTTCACCGAAATTACTGTGAGCCGCAAGAGATTTGCGGAGTTATGAACTTGGTGCGCGAAACAACAGAACACGTAATTCCACAGTGGAGAAAGGTTCGCGTTGTTTATCGTCGATTTCATCGAACGCGCACTTGCCTCGATTTATCAGAATAATCGTAGGGTATCGAAAATTTATGCTTCCTCTGCATTCGCCACACCTTTATGTAATCGCGAACACAATACGTGAGACGCAATATGGACACGATTATTGCACGAGAAAGTTGCAATTGTTCTAAAACCCGATGCACTTTACTGTGTGCGAGCGTCACCTTTTCCAATAGAATTGTACGAGAAGAATTCGTGCTCTCTCTTTTTTTCTCCGCTACTTCTATGTCATAAAATGATGACTGTTTTTCAAACTACATCATAAAATTAATGTTATATAATTAATAGAATATTACTTATGAACCTAAAGACTCCTCTTTACTCTCAGAATCACGTAAATGAATTATAGACGTATGAAAATAGATCGATCATCTGAATGGGAGATATCAAGCCAGATGATTGAGAGAAAGAAAATGAATGGAAAAATGTCTTTTCTTTTCATCATCATCTGAGAAAGAGGAAGAGAGAAGAGACATGCAAAGCATGTTTATCTTTTACAGAATGAACAAAAATACATTATGTCTATGAAACGAAACTGAACGTGGTATTGCCAATCGTATTGCTACAAGTATTCTCGCACCTTAACCAGACACGGTACATACTTGGAACTAGCATTTATTTGCTTTTAAATTTGTGTAAATTACTGTAAATGTCCGTAACTTATAATCTCTTATAGCTTATCGTTATAATCACGAATTCGCAATGTGAGACACGGGAAGCATACTGATAGGGTAAGAAAGGCTGTAAAGATCTACGAACAGGATACATACAACCTTTAACTACCAGACGCCACCTTGTTTAACTGACTTTTAACCAAATCCGATCTACATTCAATATCACGCTTAACCCGAGGGATTAACGCGCGTATTTGAATACATTTATTGCAGTTCGGGAATATATTTGACATTGACTGCATTATATAACATATGTAAATAATAACTTTTAACATTTTAACGTTACTGTTTAATGGTTGTACCACCGACGAATATAAATAGAAATCTATTATAGGTGTGCATATTTACTGTAAGATCTCTATTTTCTTTCGTTTAAGAAGAAAGGTATCTACAATATAAAAACGAGAAAATTAAAAGAAGCTCTTGGCTTTGAACAGACTTAATTTTTAGAATGCTACGTAAAAGGAAAGTACTGTTCAGATAAATTCTCTTTCGCCATTTATTTTTGAGGTGATTTATTTGATGCTAGATTTATACGACTGTAATGCGAAGTATTAACGCTGCGAGTAATCGCATACAGTAACAAACATCTGTATTTTGTCGAAAAAGAGTATTGCGAACGCTGTACGCAGCACGATACCCACTGCACGTCGCAGACGTTGCTGAGAGATGCTGTTATTCTCAGGTATAAAACCGTAAGTAGTATGCATCCTTAAAGACTGGTTACCAACACCTTGTTGTGTTTACCCTTGTTAGTTAATACCCAGGCGCGGATTGACAGAAAATATACGGTTGAATGAGCATTTGACCGTTCAAGGGTTTTCCCCGATCCCGGTATTTCTGTTTCCTCCTTCCTGACCCGGCCGGGCGACCGCGGTACTCCACAAATCATACTTTTGTGTCTTCCGTGTCCAACAGAACAACGGCACTTGTGGAAAAGGTCTATGGGAAGTGTTATTAATTCCTTGATTACGGCAGCAACGCAGGTAGCGAACGGATGCTTACCTGCCTACGCTCCAAGTACTGCCACGTTGCTTCGTTGTGTCTGAAAATCTTTTATTGCTGGACCTACGTACACTTACTTAGGGAATATCTTTTTAACGATCTTCCAGCAATGGGTCATAAAAATACTTGATCATCCAGGAGCATCCTATTCGTTGCTGCGGAATATTTATTGTTTTCGCATTTTAATGCACGTTATACGCGTTACGCAAATATTTGTTTAAGAAATTTCCACTTCCCGTTCCGTAAATTGCGCATCGGGATTTTAACTTCCGAATTTATCTATCCCGCCCGTATACGTACATCGCGATAGAAGTCGAACAATAGAATATAGCGTTGATTTAACCTGATGGATATACATGTACGTCTCGCACCGTTTTCGTACGCGTTATCCCGACTACTTAATGTACTCGAGTTATCAGCGGAACTACCGCGCGGTACGTTCGAAATTGTGCGGCTGCATGTGTACAAGTATGCACGGTATGTGCATCGAGACATGTGTGATGCCGGTGCAACTCGTTTCACGAGAGTTCACTATCTCTCACTCAATTTGAGCCTCATCCGCCGTAAGCGGATCGACCAGGCTGGCCTTTTAACGTCGGATAGTCTCGCCTCTCCTGGCTGTAGAGCATAGACGCCTATAACAAACATTATCCGCCATAATGCCCCCGTGTAAACATACCTACCAACGTGCATCCACTTCGCCTCTCCTCTCCTCTCCTTGTTTTATCTTTTTCAGACACATTTCATCTCCCTTCCGACCCCGTCGCCCGGATAAAAACGTCGAAGTTTATTTAACCATTTAACGTCAACCAGGAAGTTAAGTTTTTCGGATAAGCTGTCTTTTCAAAATCGTTCCGGGTGGAATCCCCAGCTACCTCCGGCGCGCGTCGATTCCGTCGCCTGTCCATCTCTTTTCTACTTCTAGCAAATTACTTAAGTAGATTTCACCCTACTACTTAGCTTCCTACGAATCAGGTACAACGATTGTTTCAATTACCCGAGCATTCGAGTCGTCGGTGTCTAGCTCGTTATACCGAGAACAAGGATTGGTTGATTCCCATCTACAGATTTTCCGAACGTGCGCGTCAGTCCCGAAAAGACGTCGACTTCATGGAAATTCATACGAATATCCCCACTATGGGCCCAGTCTGAAATCCCCACCCCCGATTTTTGGGATGGGACCGAGGAAGGGCCTGGAAAACTGCTTAGCAGTGTAACGGTGTAGGTAGGCTAGTTGTCAGAGTATCTCCAACACGAGAACTTCGAAGACGTTTAGAGCCGTTACAGTAAGTGCGTTGTCAAACAGTACTGTAAGCTTTGACGGATGCTGGAACTGAAACTAATATTATACTATTCCAAGTATACGTGTGCTTATATTAGAAGTCGGAATCCTTCAACGTACTGTGATATTGTGAAATATAGTGAAGTATACAGACAAGTGATAAGAAAACTTCATTAATGAACCGACTTCATTTTAATTTGAATTTAAACTGCATGAACGTGGAAATTCATGATGCGATACAATCCGCAACTGGATGGGTAATTCCAATAAATCTGATCTTAGTGATCCATCGTCAATCGTATATTTTTTTTTAAATAAAATGCTGTGAAATAAGCATAGCTTTCCGTACGTTGAAGAATTCCAAGGGAACCGATGAGGACGCGTTCGTTGAAAAATTATAGTCTGCTACAATAGGGGTGATCTTGCGGTGACGTTTATTGTATATAGATTTTTCACCCTCAAAAGAATGCTAATTTCTTTATTGTGTCGCTGCACGGCGACGAATAGCGTTACCATCACCGCCTCACGCTCATGCACCTTGTACAATACATACCTTCTTTTCTAAAAATCCATGGAGAAACGCGTATACGAAAGACATAGTTATGCCAAGAAAATTGTCTATTAGAAATTTATACGATAAACACGTGCCTTTATGTTATTGTTGCAGGTGGAGGAGTATCAAGGTTACGGTTATCCGCGAAACGGCAACGTGCCGATCTCAGGAAAATTGTCAGAAAGCAACGGAAAAGTATCTACGCAGTCAATCCAGAATAATTATCGGGAGGAGAATTTCGCCTGGTGGGCGGCGGAGGGTGGCGGAGGCCACGGGTTAAGGGACCGTGATCGGGGAGCAGCGGTGGCGGGTGAGCTGGCTTGCCTGGCAGGTTACATGGCGGGATACCTAAAAGCGGCGGGTGCTGCTTGCGCTCCAACTGGTAGTCCTCAGTACCATCCTCACGGTCATCCAGCGATGGGGGTTGGTACCCATCCGCATCCGCATTCTCATCCGCATCCGGGTGCACCTCATCCGGGGTTGCCATCGCCATTCGCTCTCGCCACCCACGCTCATCCGCATCCGCATCCTTTGGATCACGGACTTGCTGCCTTCCCACAAGGTAAATCGTATACAATTCTTGAAATTTTTTTCTCATATCTCGTCAACCAATGATTTATAGTTGTGGTTGTAATCTGAAATAGCGACGAAAGGATTAAATCGGGGAAAACTCTTTATTTAGAACACTTATCATTTCTGACAGAGGTTTCATTGCCAGAACAATCGTAAAGCATTGGCTTTCTGAAGTTTTATATTTAACACCGTTTTCCATTTGCAGTGATATGAGAGTTTCTTTATACCCTGTTTAAATCGCGATTCATCTTGGCGCCATTGAGTGACGTGTAATCTATAGAAAGGTTCAAGGGTTGCGATGGATAACGTGAATGAATAATAGCTATTGATATTGTCGAGCAGGTGAAAGTGCTTAGCTCGCATCGCGCGGTGGCGGTAGCTGTTCTTTCACCTTTTAAAGACACTCGGCTTACGTTTTTTCATTTTAAATATTTACAAACTCGTTACTATCGATTAATAAACAAATTTTATATTAACATACAAATGAAAAAATTCCATATCTTTTTGTTATCAAAATTATTTTTCCAAATCAGAAATATTCGTCTGTTAAGGACTGTGTACTTGCATGCTTTAAATTGTCTTAAGTTAAAATTTCTTTTTATTGAATTCTTAGACGATTTGTTTAATTACTGTTGAAAATGAAAAATGGCAGATTTAAATTTAAAATAGATAAGCGATAGATTTATCTAATAGCTACGAAACAGCTATCCATCGAATTTTCATATCAATTGTATTCAATGGCACCTACACTTGTTCTCTATATTCGTTTCCCATAATGCGAAGCGGTGTGTTATTTCGTAGCGAAAGTTCGCCATACTAGCTATTATTGATTGTCATGCAAATCGATGCATCGACTGAAGCCATACGAGGACGAAGTAAACCCCGGGCTTCTTAACTATAGTCAGCATAGCCGTATCTGAGTATTCTGTGTGACGGACGCTCGAGTGCATGTCGCTTCGAATGTTGGTTCGAAGTATCGGCAAAATTTTTCATTCGTAAATTCCACATGGATTCGAGCCAAATAAGATCTTCGCGAATACTGCCATGCGGATTCAGCCCCGTATCCGACCAGATTCGATAGGAATTAGATGCGTTATAAAATTGCGTTCAGCGTTCTATAAAAAAGAAAAAAAATAAAATACGTTTCCATAGGTTTTGCACTGCTTTGTCCGTTGAAAAAGTGCAATCGTCGAATGAAAAATCGTTCTCCTGCTGCAGCCCTTCGAAAGTCCGGTACAAAGCGATTTTTCTGTATGGACACTGATGAAAAGCGGTGGATGTACAGCGTGCTTATAAAATCGCATTCGTATTGAAAACCAGCGTCGATATCACAATATTCATTCGCGAAACATGATTGAAAAACATCGTGTCACGGTTGAAACAAGTCTTTTCAGATCCCGTTAGATACTAGAAATATGCATAGGACAAGGTAAACGGAGCAAATAAAAGCGAAATCTTTAGACGAGAAGTAGCGAGATCGTTCTCGCGTTCGTTTCTCATTGGGGTTTGATTCGGTCAGGAATATGATCGGGGGTTAGTCGTTCTTTTTTCCGCGTTTTACGCACACTGCCGGGTGTATACGCGTACCTTTTCTTTCCGCATCTTCGTTTTTTTTTTTCGCGGTTGTTTGAAAAGGGTTCTAGAGCGAGGGAGAGAAACGCGAAAAAGAGAGTAGAAAGAGCCGAATCGCGACGAAGAGGATAGGAGGAAGGGGCTGGAATGCCCCAGCGAAGAAGAGTAGAGGGAACCATGAGAGTAAGCCGCTTATCAGGGTGGCAGCAGGCAGTATAGGTCCAACCAACGCAGATAGGTGGGTTTCCATAGAAACACGGATCTGTCCGTTAGGTCCCTGCGTACCCGCGTCCAGCCGCCTATCCGTTGTAGGCGTATCCGCTACACGAAAAGCCGCGGAACGAGAGTGGAACGAACCGAGCGAGTACCTTCCATATGCGCGAAACGGGCAACCGGAAGAGACCGGACGCTAGGAACAACGCGATTCCGATAACCTACCATTTCAAAGAGACACCGCAACGCCTTTATCGGTCTTTTATCAAACAAACGTTCTGTTCTGATCGTTGTCCAATTCCTTTGATCAAGAATAACTTGTTTACTTCGTCATGTATTAGCCGGGATAAAATTATAAAGGAACGATAGCCTTGTACCTTCGGCTAATAGAGTTTTTTCATTCGCGGAATATTTAATATTAAAAGACATCAAACGTTCCGGTAGGAGAACAAAAATTATATTACGAATGAACGTCCGTGTACGATCGTGGAGAGTCTGCTGAGAAACGACATTAATCTTGGGACTGTCGCTTGAAATCGCGTTCGTCGCGTGCGAGGTGAAAGATAGTCCATGTTCGGTGACGCGCGTGGGACGAGTCTGTTAGTATTTATTTTATTATGCAATCGGACGTGGGGTCGAAACCGAGCGAGGAAAAAGCTAGTAGCCCCGGGGCGGGACGAAGGGTGCCAAAAATGGAGGAGGGATGTCGAAGCGTTGTTGTTAACGCGTCGAGGTTTTACCCGGCGGCGGCGGCGCGGCGGCGACGATATTCAGGGACGGTGGGTACCTACGTGGGAATCGCGTCACATGCCTCTCCCTTTTTCTCATTCGACGACTACTATTTGTTGTCACAGAGAAATTGCCCGTCCACTTAACTTCCTTTCGTTTCCTCTTGATGCGATCTCTGCGCGTAAACAGACAGGCGTCTCTGATTTTCGTTTTGCCAGAAGTTAATCAGACAAAAATTAGAAAGAGAAAAACGATTTTTCATTCGATAAAGATGTTTTTCCAGGCACATGCATCGATAGTCGTTAGACAAAATTAGTTTCAGAAGCGAATAGTTAAGTAATAGTCTGATCCTTCATTCGGGATACTGTCAATTCGATAGAATTCCAATCACTCAATTAGGCGTCAGGTTAAGGGTGACACGTGTCGGTAGCACGTGCGGCCATCGTCGCTGCGAAGTGGCCACAAAATATCAGACTAAACAAGCGCCGTTGGGGAGAAATCTTCTCGAATACGAGCAGTCGGAGGCCGATCGACGCGTGTCACGAGTAAATTGAGTAGTTGAACGCGGTATCGTTCTCGAAGGAGGGATCCGAGTACAGGTCCGGTCCTAATTGTAGGATAAACACTCGACTCTGAGTGAAATATCACGTACAACGATATCGATACTCGAATCTATCCTCCGCTTTTAACCTTCTACGTTCCCACAAACGTTTCTATTAGATTGGTAAATTAATTTTTGATTCCTCTATTATATGTATACCGTTTATCCTTCGATACGGTTTAGAAATCGGTAGTTGTGTTACGAAAAGTGGGTGGATCAGAGGTCGATTCTATCACGGAAGAAGCGAATGAAAAGAGCATCGGTTGGAAGGCGGTAATCGGAAGCTTATCCGATTATTGCCCCGGATGCGTGTTGGTATTTCGTTACTTACTTATGCCGTCTCTCTGTTAGATTATCCCGTAAGACGCGACTAGGCCCGAAGGTCGCACGCGTTTCTTTCTGTTGGTTCGAACGTTACGTGTGGTCCGAACTGCAGGTGCCGGGCTCTCAGTTTCGAACTTTCGGTCTCGAACGCTGCGCATCCGTTCGATGCGGATGCAACGCCGACAAGGCGTGAACGGTAAACTCGAGCCCGGTTATCTGCTTTAGGTTGCGATTTTCGCGGAGGCCAGTTCGTAAACGCAAAGTCGGCCAAATATTTTCGTAGCTGATGGCCTTTTAGAATTCCCTCTTCCATAGGCAGGACGGCACGTGCTATCATCCCACGGTCCCCCGAATAATCCACATTCATCCCGCTCACGTTCTGCACCGTCTACCGGCCTATTCGCGTTTTAGCTTTTAATTAATTTTCGATTCCCGTCCGAGGTCTGAGGTATATATCTATTCACTTTCCCTCGCGACCTCCTCGTCGATTCCTCTCTCGGCCGACTTCGGATTCTGATGGCGTCGCATCTTGTATTCTATGAATACCGAAGCGAATACTACTTGCCCGTAGGACGAGTTTGCCGCATCGTCGGGTCCGGTTCTCCTTCGATTTCAACGATACCTCGTGCGTGAAACGCGTAATTTATGGTTCAATCTCCGGCGAGTTAACCGTTTTGATGAATAGCCGGACACGAGGTAGCCGGTCAATTTATCGAATAATTACGGCACCATTTTCTATCCGACCGACCGTGGTAATTGATATTAATTCGCGTTTTCCTAACTCGATAAGCCTTCCGAATCAAGAGTTTCTCTCGCCTTATCTCGGTTATTTATTATCCGCTCGATTCTGCAACTAAGTTGAAGAGTTTGCACGCGTTCACTTAGAGAAGCTATATTTTATCGTCGAAGAATAATACTTTTAGATCGTATCGCGGATTAGCAAGTGCCGGCCGCATAACTCATGCGGTTGAACTACACCGTGTATGATGTGAGACTAAGCGACAATGACAATTAATTAAATTCACACGTTAAGAGTAATTAGACCGGTCCTTTATCAATGGTCTCATTAGAACACAAGTATAACTTGACGGTTTATTCATTTAGACGACATCGATCGCTCAAGCATCCTTGTCTTCGCGTTAGCACAATTTGAAATTAGAGGATACGCATTCCGCCGCCTGAGAGCAATTACTGTGAAATTTTGTTAGCGGCTCCGGCATTGACTTCCACGGATTCCGTTCCGCGTGAAAGCTCGAAACACGAGATGCCGTCCTGCACACCGCGCTCGGTAGGGATGGAAGAATCCAATAAACGGAAAACGAATTCGCTATTAGGGTCGCGTCTGATCTCGTTGCGGGCCAATGAGCCAGAGCAACCCTTGTATCAACCCCCGGATCCCGGATTTCGCGCTGACGATAATAAATCGAATCATACTTCAGGACGCAGCGGGTGTTTGTCGTCGCATTAAGGGTCGCTTAGCCAGTCTCTTTTTCGACTGGAACCATACCGAATTCGCCGTCCCTCCCTTGTCGTTGCGAAAAGCTTTCGCCTGCAATTTCCGGCGGGAGACTTTAAAAGCCGTTGCCGGAGACATCGGGCATGGCATGGTTAAGAAAATTGGGATCGAGTAGATCTGTAAGCTCCGAATCCGCTCTTTCGCTCGCCGGAATTGAAGCGGGCGAAGACTTTTCCTCGCGCCCACTCGTCGCCGCCGTTGCACTGCGCGGAAGCAGGCGCAAGACCATAATCGGAATTCCATTGTCTCGTTGGTGGATAAGGGCCGCGGCTTTCACAGGGGCCGATGTATAGCCCGTCGGCAAAGGCCGTCGTTAACAGTAGCGCCAACGCCCACTCGACAATCAAGCATCCTCTCTCGCCGGATCCGTTCCTCACCCTTTCCTCGTGCCCTCTTCTCCCCGCCGCTTCAGCCCCAGCCACACCGATCTGCTCGCAAACGGAACAAGAGAGATACGGATCATAGATTCAATGATCGCGGGCGTGTCGTGGGCATCACCGCGACGACGACGGTAGCCAACCCGGCAAGTCGCGGTGGCGTGGAATTTTACATTGTGCCCTCGCGCAATCTTCTTCGACGATCCTGCTCGGCTACCGTAGCTTGATAGCCCACTCGACCGGTTCGTTAGTCGACCGATCACGTGTATGCATCATCGTCGGCGTCATCGTCATCATCCTTCGCATCCGCGCGTTGTTACGTATCGCTTCTTATTGTTACCACCGGGAAACCATTCCAGAGGCAGCGCGGGGGACACGACCGATACGAGGCGATAACCTCTTGGCCCTCGTCGACCACTCCTCTTTAAAGACGTGCCTCGCTGTCACGTTTCATCAATGAACGTCGATTACTCTGCCTACGTTTGGCTCCCGTTCGTTCGAATCTTTTTTTTCCAAGTCATGTCATCCGTTTTCTTTAGACTGTTGGTCACAGTAGCATGATATAAATATGTATACTTTCATGTATTTATCTCGTCCTCTTGTATATGTACGAAAGGTAACTTCTCTTTTTCCTCCATGTTTCTTCCGATAAATCGATTTTTTGCTACTCTCTCTTTTTTATTGTTAACTTAATCTCATCAAAGCATTGTCCAATTAAGAGATATGCAGGAACAAGAACACTTTTGTAAGATCGAGCAAATCCTAAAGTAGGAGGATTAAAAAGTAAAGAAGTTTCCTGTAGGTCGTATCCATCAATTCGCAAAAGCAGTTCGAGATTCAAAAAATATTCATTTCGCTGGATCGCGAAATACTATCCACCTTCTTCCTTTCACGACTTTACGATCCAGCTCGGAGCCGGGAGAGACACTGGCACGGCGCAGTTTTCCAGGGCCCTGTTTCTCTGTCTTCTTTTTATTGGCCGCGGGAGAACGGTTGTACGCTGGCGTGTTGGATACCATCGTTTCCAGAGGCAGCTGGGAACGAACCACCGCGACTTTGGTCCTCTGGACCCTGGATAGTCGTGTATTCCGGAGTGTACCCCCCTCGTTCCTCCGTTCTGGCTTGTCCCCCGTCCGTCTCCTGCCCCGGCCGCCGCCGCCCCCTGTGACCCCCTCATAAGCGGATTACGTGGGTCCCGAAACGAGCCAAGCGAGGCTCGATGGCACGAGGAAGGCAGAGGAGGGTGGGTCGTAGCGGGGAAACTGTTCAAAATTACGCTATCGCGACCTCGCAACGCTTACACCCCTCTACGCCACCCCGTTTTCTCTGTCCTACGGTCTTCTCTGCGGTACCGATGCCATGCCTTACCCTTTTCGTCGTCTCTCGTCGGTTGAACAGCCTCGTCTCGTCGCAACTCTCCGATCGTGTTAAATATTCGATCGATCACGATCATTATAAAGCATGGAGTTTCGAAAAACGTACACGATTTAGTTAACTCCGTGCCATTCATCACTAGCATTCTCTGCGATTGCTTAATCTCTAGTCTCTTTCTTCCTTTCTGTCTCAGGAATGAATCAACGCAAGCAACGTCGGGAGCGAACTACTTTTACCAGGGCTCAACTGGACGTCTTGGAGGGACTTTTTACAAAAACTAGATATCCGGATATCTTCATGCGTGAGGAGGTAGCGCTGAAGATTAATCTTCCTGAATCACGTGTGCAGGTAATTTGACTTTCTCATCTAACAGAGAACGCGTATTAATGCGAAAATGCGAATACGTCGTAAAAATTAATATTTGCGGTGAGTCTTTGCGCGGAGTAGAATCGGTTTTCTAGTTCGCGTACATGCATGCTACTTCCATATGACGGGGCACGAAAAATGAGAACAATTTCGGCGGATGACAGTAACGAGTAGAAGAGAGTAAGAGGGGAGAGAAAGAGTGCTTCGTGCTTCGGCAAGCACGGACGAGATTTAAGGTATTTACACAACGCGGTGTCGCGCCCTACGTCTTCTCCCGGCCTCGCCATTGTCCCGGCCTTGGCCGTACATTGATAGATGTGCCGACGAGCTCGTTGACGCTTTTATTGCGGTCCTCGTAACATCTTTATTTCGTGGCGGGGCGTCCCGAAGTCACGATCGTGACGGGAATATCAGAAGCTCGCGAATCCCCCGACGCGAATCTCCATTTTCTCCCCTCGCTGAGGACCATGATGCGCTACCATTAGTGGGACCCGATTTCTGACTCTAGCCATAGTCCGATGAAAGCACGAGCTCGAATAAGATTACAATTTTAACTTTCAATATTAGCTTCTTTTTAGTTATAATCGTTTTTGAAATCTGTTTGTATTATTTTATGACGGGAAGGGTAGCCATGGTAGTAGCTATTTGTTAATATCGCCATTGCGAGATATGGGACAAAGCAGGGAAATTTTGGTCGGCGGAGTTTCCACCTAAAGTTAAGCCCCCTGTGCCAGTGAATGAAGGCGCGACTGCAAAAAGGATGTAGGTATGGGTAATACATGTACACGGGAACGCACGTGTGCATGGATATATACATTGTAATGGCGTACCCACGTGAACGAATATCTAACTAGGGGCGCGCGAGCGGGAGGGGACAGGGGTGCGTGGATCTAAAAGTTTTCGATGAAGGAGAGGAGAGGAGAGGAGAAACAGAGATCGACACGGGGGCAGAGGTGTGTATAGGTAGAGGAACACAAGAGACACGATGTATGGAGCACGGAGAGCGTATAGTTGATTTGTTCCTGGATTATAGCCCTTCGTTCTATCTCGCTTCGCGACGTTCTATACGCGAGAGAACGACACAGCTGCGCGCGATGTTTGCTACGTTTGAATGCGCCAGGTCGTTCGTCCATCATTTACGATCGTGGAACGCGTCAAAAACGTTATTTCCCCGCGTACCGTGGATGACAAAAAGAGTGCTCAGCGCGGCTTGAGACCAGCGCCCGGCAGGAAAAACGATCAGTTTCTCTTTCGTGGACAGGCTTATTTCCTATCTGCATACAATTTTACTCGACACTAATCTCGTCTGCAACGAAAAGTAATTGAACGCTGAAACAATGCATATAAATTAATAATTATTCTATGAACATTTACGTAAATATCAGTTTAGCGCTTGATTGCAGTTCTTTTATCCGTATCCGTGTAGGCAATCACCTTCAAAGACTGATAGAAATTTGGAATCAGGCTTTTTTCGAGCGAGAGGCATGTATACGCACAACAGGACAGTTAGATGTTTGAAAATGACACGCAGCGTAGAATCGTATTAATAGTACAAATAAGAAAATATATTTGTCATAACGAAACGTCAACGCAGCTGCTACGTCCCGTGGCCAATACGTCGGTTCTTCGTTTCGAATGCTAACCAGATGGTGATGCAATTTACACCTAGCCATCGATACACAGAGAGCGAAGCTTGGCTGTGGTTCACCCCGAGGGTTTCCGGATGGCACCGCCGCCCGTTTGGTTGGTTTTTGGGGTAGCTGCGAACTCCGTTTGTGTGTTGTTCCTGACGGGGGGTGTCGTTGTGCAAACACGGGCCAGTAATGGGCGTTTTCTCTCTGTCCCTCGCGAACTCTTCTTCCTCGGGATCGTTTCTCTCGCCGCTGATACGCAATATTCGCGTTTCACGGATCTTCGCACCCCATTGGCGAGGGCCGTGTTTGCAATACGCGGATTCCAACGAACGAGCGAAACGGTTCAGATTCTTATCGTCGTCATCTTCTCGCGTCTCGTTCGGATATTTCCTTCACGCTTCGTTAATCGTAACTTTTCAACCCGGCACCCTCTCGGCGAGTTCGTGTACCCTTCCTTATTTCTTTCGTTCTCAATTCGACCAAGTAACACGGAATTCATGGCGGCTGGAAATCCCGTGTCCGCTTCGACGATTCGCGCTCCTCGCAACAACTGTTACAATGCCGTCGATAATAACAATAATAACGGGGCCGGGCCTCGCTTTTAAAGGCACGGGCATAGATTCATAGGATCGCACCCCTAGCCACATTGTGTACCCGGATTACGGAGGGTGCACGAGGGGGAGTGAAAGGGGCGATACGCGCGCAAGAGCTTGCGGCCTACCGGCACCCGGGGACCCCAGATAGATTTTTGTTCTCCTTGCGAAAAGCACCAAAAGAGAAGAGTATCCAGCGCGTATACATGCCCTTTTTACTTTCTCTTTATTTTACTTTTTCAACGCCAAACATTTGAGTTCGCCCGTTAAAAATTATTATATCTCGTTTTACTTGAAATTGTTCATTTTTATTCTCGAGCACGATTGTAAACTCGAGCAACAGCAATCTAGTTCGGATTTCAATTCATGCATGCGTGCTGGAAAACACAGACGAAACGTGGATCCCGAGGGATACACGCGTATCAAAATCCCCCAACTACCATCCCTACCTCGGGCAGTTGTTATTGTTGCGATTTAATGAAATGTTACGGCCGTCCGCCCGCGATTACTTTCCCATTGCACCGATTAACTCCCCATCGCATCGGTACAGTTCCGTCCCTCGTTACGGGACACCTTTCTTCTCGACCCCCCGGGCGATGCTCTCTGCGAAACCTTGAGAGATTCCCCACGGAAGACTCCGTTCACCGTTCCGTCTCGGTGCTATTATTCGGTTACGATACATCCATTTAATAATGTATAACTAGACTTCACCTTCCTATTGCTAAATAGTTATCTCGACGACGATATGTACTTGTAATTACGTGTCACGTTGCCCTCTTTGCGCAGGTCTGGTTCAAAAATCGTCGAGCGAAATGCAGACAACAATTGCAGCAACAGCAGCAGCAGCAGCAGCAGCAACAGCAGCAGCAACAAACATCTCCGTCAAAGGGATCCCCGCGATCGAGCCAGGCACAGGGCAACAACAACAACAACGCCGGGAACAAGATGTCGCCGGGAACAAGCTCGGCCGCGGCGGCCAGCAGACGTTCCTCGCCGGTTTCTCCGCCACGCGCCAAAGAGGCTCCAGGTTCTAATTCTCCGTTGCTGCCGAGCTCGTCATCGTATCCACGACTCGGCGTGACGCCGACCGGTGGAAGCGGTGCGAACAGCGCTTTGACGACCCCGTCGCCCCCGTTGACTCCGGGCTCCAGCCAGCTACCGCCGTCCTCTTACCCGCCACCGATGAACCAGATCCACCACGGCGAGTACGGTTTCGCCTGGAGTTCGCCGTCGCCCGGCGCGGTGAACCCGAGCCAATGTTACGCTGGGCAGACCTACAACGCCTACCAGAATCCGTACACCAGCGGCGAATACTATCAGAGTCAGATCTCACATATGCATCACAGCCCGCAAGGAAATTATCACCATCCGCAGTATCATCACAACATGACATTGACGTCGTCTATGTCACATTTAACTCACCATTTGAATCCAGCCGGACCGAACGATATAGCACCCTCCCCGGATCCCGAGGGTTACGTGTTGTCAGATCAGAAGTATCAGGCGATGGTATAGCGGTCTAACGGCAGGTCCATGGGAATCTTTCATCGGAATCAGGAGGCCGCCGCCACCGGATCCTCTTATAACTGGCGGTTGAATTCTGCCAATTGTTCAGAAATTAACGGTGGCATCGATTCCGATGAAAATTGATACGAAAGGAGGTGAAGCTTTTAAGCGAGGTGACGCGGTTTCTTCCGAACCGTGTCCGTTTTGCGAAGATAATGAGCGACGCCGATGGACAGTGGCGTTTTCATAGTGCCCGGCAAACGATATCGGGTATAGTTCGCAGCGCGCGTTACCTGGATGCGCGAAGGAGGTAGGTAAATATTGGCGAACATTTAAAAACTTTTAATAGCGTGGTCATGTGCCGTCAATTATTTATGGTACGGTTCCTCGTATTTCTAATCCTGAACCCACGGACACCGATACGAGAACCTGATCTCAGATCGTCCGTGAGCATGTGAATGCGAGAAGGTCTCACGTAAGAATTTTCATTTTCCATCACAAATGGATAACCTTGATATTCCATTAATCGCTATATCTTTTTACCAGAATAATTTTCTGATTTACATATTTTCATTCAACGTTCGTTCCTTCAATTTGAACATTCTCATTGACGCGCGTGATTCTTTTCGTATTTGTGTTTCTTAAAAAATATTACATTGTATTCGATATTTAATTTTCATTTATCTCGTTTCTTCTTTATGATTAAGATTATATATTTTGATATTAAGAACGCGTTCGACGACGAGTTGTAGATAACTTTAACGATTCATTAACGACGTCCTAATTTCTGCAATTACTCTTAACGAAATCCGGAAACAGTAAACGGAGAAAAAGCATAAGTACTAAACAGTATTAAGTATATAGTAAATCAGACATCGTTGGCCTTTTTCATCGTTTTTTGATTATCTTCTCGTGAAGTCACGCGTACTTACGTTTTCCTCTTGTTCCCGGCAATTATTTTATTCCTCATAAAGGAAGTAAAACGAGTGGTGTGAAGAAACGAGTAGGAACATGTAAAGAGGAAAATGACATACGTATCGATGTTCGTGTATTTCTATAATTTCTATGTATATTTTCTATTCATTGGTGTTTCTCATCTTATAATCAACTTTTTTTACTTCCTTCTTTTAACTCTGTACGACAAGTGCTTCACACTGCCGTCATTATTCATAGTAGTTATCGTTTTTTTTATTATTATCAATTTTCGATTAATTATTATATTAATAATCATTCATATCAAAATGCGGCTAGCGAGCCGGAAAGTTTGTGTAAATAAAATACAGTGATGTAACGCTCGAAAATCCTATTTGATCGCAAATCGCGTGGATTAACGTCTCCGATTGGTCTCCTGGAACTTATATGCTCCAACCCAAACCGAGAAATCTTATGTTCCACGCGGTTCAGCCATTAAAAAGTGATACGCTCATCACTTTCGAGAAAAAGAAAAAAAAATCTTTCACGCTATTATATTGATTAAATGAAAAAAATGTAAGGGACGCATAATTAAGTGTGAGTGTATATTTCGTGGATACAACTCCAATGTATATTATCGTCGATTAGTGAATAAACGCAATTTAAAGTAAAAGTGGAAAAGTCACACAAAAAATATCAACAACATTAACGAATAACAGATGATAATTGTAACAATTAACGATTATTGTGCGCGTATAAACGTAAGCTACTTTGTAATAACGTGACACAGAATGTACATAAATTATCTTATTTATAAGATACATCATTGTTCTATCATCTGGGGAAATCTCATCCTACGCCAGAATAAATCATCGCATATTATTAATAAAGTTGTTTGTCAATTTATTTTAACCTGTACTTCACGCGCTTAGGATAACGAGCAAATTAATCTTGATTCTAATTAACGTAAAGTTCATGGCCCCCGTTTGATCCGGTCGTTGGTAGTGCACTTGTAATACATGTGCACAATGCGTTGTCTTATTTCGTTTGAACGCAACGAGCTCGTATTCGTAGATCGCGAGTCAGCCTCCTATTAATCACATTGATGTTGCCCAAGTTTCCGTCGCCGCGGGCTGTAATTTTGCTAATGCAGTTCAAATTAATTAACATTAAAGCGTTTGTCCCGTGTCCTATTATATCTGCGCGGAAGCTCGCAGCGTATCGATCGTAAACCGTTAAAAGCCATATTAATTACAGATCCGTGGTCGCACTGTAATCGCGAGCACATTTGCGTACATGTATGTACACACGGTACGCACCTATGCTTGGTGACCGAGCCTTGTTCCTCCTCGATGGTTATCCTGTATTCCGTGGAATTAAAAAATATTTGCCCCCCCGTCCAACGAAATAAAGTAAACAATTTTATTTCCCCGTGACGCTCCGCATGAATTTTTCCAGGTATTTCGAAATTAACCACTCTAATTACTTCGTAAAATTTGCATTCGAGGGACAAATCGTTTTTCCCAAGTATTTCTACTAAATAAGGCCAGTAATATAATTGATATAAAACACATTTCAAAGAACTAGTTATTTGAAATAGCATCAACTGGATAGGAGATAGGGAAAATGAAATTCAATTGGTCAAGTACTCAATTAATCGAACCCGTTCTTCAGTATCTGAAAATCTCATCTATCGATTCAAACTACGCAAGCGATTCGTATAGAACGACTAATTAGGACTTTGAGGAAGCGTCGATTGATGATTGAGTCCTATCGCGAAAGCATTCATATTCCGTTTGATGCAATCGCACAAAGTAAACGTAGACGGATGTATGATAAGGGAGATACGATCGAGTGGTCCGTCCGGGTACGGCCGTATAGTCTTGCGATGGTCCATTAAAGGATCGCAGGTGCAAGAGGGTTGCGTGTGCGTGCGTTCCGCCGATACAGGGTTACAGAGAGCCGGTCGTTAACGGAACGAAGGGTGGCGAAGTACATGTGTATATCTCTAAGTGCCCTAAACTCCAGGGACAAAGAACCGTGCTAGCGACCGAAGGCAGCAACCATCGGTTCAGGCTAATTGGACAGATCGGCTACCTGTCTACCTTTTGACGTCGTAATCCGGCGACCTTTCTAACTCATCAAATTAACTGGCTATAACAAATCGGCAGGCTTGTACCTAAATACTGCTACTCACCCCGCGGATCCTTTGATGACCCTTTGACATAATCGCAAATCCTTTCGCGACTTACTACCCCTGAAAAGAGGGAATTTCGGGAATGGTATGCGTGCAAATTACTTGCATCCGTACAGGACTAGTCGGGTCCAGTATGGAACGGTATTGAGCCTGTTGCGAAATATCACAGCGGTAGCGACGATGAAGTGCTCATTTACTCACGTTTAAAACAGAGACTCGAATAAGTAAATACGAGCTTCCTACTGATATCAACCATATAATGCGGAATTATCGAGAGGTTTATTATTTTGTCGCATAAATTTATGATCTGCAGGTATTCTTCAAACAGCGACGGTTAGATTTACAATCGGAGTGTAAACGTCGCGTTAGAAAANATTGAGTCCTATCGCGAAAGCATTCATATTCCGTTTGATGCAATCGCACAAAGTAAACGTAGACGGATGTATGATAAGGGAGATACGATCGAGTGGTCCGTCCGGGTACGGCCGTATAGTCTTGCGATGGTCCATTAAAGGATCGCAGGTGCAAGAGGGTTGCGTGTGCGTGCGTTCCGCCGATACAGGGTTACAGAGAGCCGGTCGTTAACGGAACGAAGGGTGGCGAAGTACATGTGTATATCTCTAAGTGCCCTAAACTCCAGGGACAAAGAACCGTGCTAGCGACCGAAGGCAGCAACCATCGGTTCAGGCTAATTGGACAGATCGGCTACCTGTCTACCTTTTGACGTCGTAATCCGGCGACCTTTCTAACTCATCAAATTAACTGGCTATAACAAATCGGCAGGCTTGTACCTAAATACTGCTACTCACCCCGCGGATCCTTTGATGACCCTTTGACATAATCGCAAATCCTTTCGCGACTTACTACCCCTGAAAAGAGGGAATTTCGGGAATGGTATGCGTGCAAATTACTTGCATCCGTACAGGACTACTCGGGTCCAGTGTGGAAGGGGTATTGAGCCTGTTGCGAAATATCACAGCGGTAGCGACGATGAAGTGCTCGTTTATTTATCATATCAACCATCTAATGCGGAATTAGAAACATCGACGGTTAGATTTACAATCGGAGTGTAAACGTCGCGTTAGAAAATATAAATTACATGTGAACGGGTTGATTTTTCCATCTTTTAATTATCTCGTCCCTTTCTGGAAGCAAGACTACGTTTACAGGAATAAGAACGAGGAAAAATTCGAGGACGCGACAGTCGATGATCGTTTCCTACGATTGTTTTACAAGACGGTCGAGTGAGAGTGTCGACCGTTCACTTTCATCGTGCCGAAGACAATGGCCTTGAACTTGGCCGAGTACTGCGGTAAAGAGTTAAAATCGGCTTGCGTTTAGCCGGATCCCATTATAACAACTCGGAGCCGGCCGTAAGCTTCATGGCTTGGTTCCGCTCACTGTGTCACCGGGCTAAGCCCCGACTTACCTACCTATCCTTGCGAACCGCTCTCTTACTCCTTTTCCTACACCCTCTCCTTCCCCGATTTTACCCTTCGGTCTATGCCTCGTTTAATACCGCGCATTATGCTCTATTGCCACACCTACCCGAAACTTGCTCGGTGTTCTACCTCGCATTTCCAAGTTCCGATGTTGCTTCTTTCCACGAATTTCTTTTACCCGAAGGCCATCCGTAGTACAATAATTATAGTATACTTTCATATAGAGGGTATGGAATAAACGGTGCCTGAAAATTTACGACTTTATGGTACTTACCAAAAGGAGCGAAGTGTCGTCTTGATAACGTCCAATGCTCAATCCTTTCGACAGGTTAGTTTTTTCTCTTCTTTTTGTTCCTTTTGGAAGGTACTACAGGCCCTTAATGTTTTAGATACTTTTTTTACATCAAAATGATTATCGACAGGCTTGTTATTTTGTCGTACAAATTTATGATCTGCAGATATTCTTCAAACTGACAATCAGTTTCGGTTGGATTTTGCTTCGAATTGAATAGCAAATAATGTTACGTATGAAAAATACACGCAGTGTCATCATCAACTATATACGTATGTGTTTCAATGGAATAACATATGCAGATTAGAGGAAAAGTTTACTGAACGGGTTCAGAACAGCAGACGCGTATTTTCGACCATTTTCGTCTCTCCGGAACAAACCGAACGTCCGGCAAGCGAGACCCCGGCTAAAGAGCGACGCACCACCCCATAGCGGCGGAAACTGACGGTCCATTTTTTAGGATTACCTGTGGATGCTTCTCGCGTGGGATATGGAAAGGCCGAGGGTGATAGAGCTAACGTGGTATAGCGCAGAGAAAAGAGGGACAAGACAGGGAACGGATATGTGTTGGTTATTAGGTAGCGAGCCGAATGTTTGGATAGAGGGAGCTTAACAATGCATTCGCGCCCCTTGACTTCCTGCCGGAGCTTCTGATCTCCGATGCCTGACCGGCGAACGTAATTGGGTCGGACGAGCCGCGAGTTCTCCTTTCTCCGTCTATTTATTAAAAAGAAAGTTTTCTCGCTTGATTTTGTGCGCGATCGGCCGATTCGACTTCCTGCTTCTTGAAATCGATCGACCATCGAAAATCGTGAAGGTAGAAAATTTCTATTCGAAGAGATCACAACGAGATATTTCTAAAACTTTTCTTTGGTACAGAAAATTCTCTACTAGACTAATCAGTCGCTATAAGTTGAGTTAATCAAAAGTTCATTCTTGTGAAAAGTATTAACAATTTATAATAAATATTATAAGGCTTTTATATACAGTGAAAAAATTGAATAGAACCTACTTTTCGTACAAGTATTATGAAATTGTTGGTCACACACCAAACAAAATTCTCCTCGTTTGGAATTGAGATTCGAATGCAACAGTAAAAGTAAATATGTAGAATCAGTTGCATTGAAACGATCCACTGGTATTACGATCGTTTACGTCAGCGAACGCTAATTAAGAAATCAGCTGCGCGTGACACACGTGGATCCGAATCGGGGATGAAATAGCGCGCGTGATTCGAATGCGCGGAATGAGATCAAAGCGAGAAAAGTCGAGGACTTTGGGATGCGCAGCGACCACCGTCGGAGTCCTGCGAATTGAATTTGCATCGCGGCGCGATCTCGATTCGACGCTGATTCGATTTCATCGAGTTTAAACCCGGCCGCTTATAGAGCATTAAGCAATCCTCAAAGTGGGAACGGGAAATCTAGTTACGGGAACGTGAGCTGGCCTCTTTGATCCCGCCGGCACCGCCGTTCCCCTCTTTCAATTCTCTCTTTTTCCATTCTTCCCCAGGCTGAATCTTTGCCCTCGTTAGAGATATTGCCAATTGAGAAAGAACTCCGTTCCTTCCGGTCCTCCGAGATTGCGCGAAAATTTCATCTGGCGACTTTATCCTCTTCGCCGTCGGAACGGATACCTGACCCGCGCTCCTCTTCTCGTTTCAGCACGCATAAATTAATTTTCGATCGACGAGAACATAATTAATCGTGGAAGAAGACTGTTTCACCTCGTTTCGTTCCCAGATAATTAGCGACTTTTCTCCCGTGGAAAATACCGTATGGAGGATTACGGTGTGGCGTGGCGTGGCGCGCCGCGTGGAACATTTGTCGCGACGCAACGAATTAATGAATAAATTCGCGTGAAATTATTAAACTGACTCTCCGTCGTTGCATTATTTATACGGGTCGCCGTCACGGAGAGATGTGTTGCTCACCGATCG